GCATTCGCATTCGCATTCGCATTCGCATTTGCATTAGCGTCTATTCGCGCACACATGCGTCGGAATCGCTGGGCTGGACAATTCTGTTTAAGGTTTTCGCTCACGTTTCCCGTATTATGTGCAAATTGGCTTTTTAAATTGTCGACTTGGCTAAGCCAAACGCAACTACACTTTATGGCCGGGCTTCGTGCTGCATTTTAAACCATGCGAAAATTTCCGCAAAAACCTTAAAGCGAGCTAGCCACATACATAGCTACATAGACCCTTTAACGGTCGCCCCCTGCGCTGCGGCTTGTTAACTCAATTATAATTATTATTATGGCTAAATTGCATTATTTAACAGGCGTAATTGGCACTCTATTAAGAATGTAGATTAAACTGTAGCTGGGCGAGATGAAGGCACTCAAATGGCTAAGACTTTTCAGCTAATGAGAACGATTCGCATTAATATTTGGTTTTATAATCGACTGACTGATAATGATTATTCATTCACAGCTGCTGCTGCTGCATCTGAAATCCATTCTTGCACGGCCGAGGCAGAGGCCCACACCCACTTGACTGTCACTCGGCGTGACAGTGCTCAGAATTCAATTAGGAAAAGCAATTTACGACCCAGCCACGGGACATAATACTAATACCAGCAGCGACGACGGACACCGGGCCGGCTGGACATGAGCCCAGTCGTAGCCCGCCACAAAGCACATTAAGCAAACAAGCTGAAGGCGGCACGGGGGCATAAGCTACGCATGTAATTTGTAAGTAATTTTTTCAACTATCAACGTCCCAGACAAACGACGACGACGATGACGGCCACGCATTGTGGCAGCCATAACGCATTACAAGCCAGGGTGGGGCAGAGCTGGGGGCATGATTCAGGCAGGCACCGAGGCAGGCAGGCACAAGCCGGTACGCCAAGCTGAAAAAAATGAAGTAACGAAAGCATTGAATGACCAACTGAATGACTCTGGCAATGTGTATGGGAACGGGAATGGCCATGGCCATGGCAGGGACAGCCACAAAGCTAGGCATAAATTATGAATCATTTAGACGCTTCCTTATGACACCAAACCGAAGAAGCCACCAGGCTCTAGCAGCGTGGCCAAGCCAATTGCCCAGCTAGGCGAGCAGGTGATTAACAGACGACTGCAGCTCCACTCTTCGCCTGGCCAGAGAAACTAACGCATATTTATGGCATCGCCTCGTGCCTCGAGTCTCCCTGCTTCAGTTCTCTGACATTTCATTGGCTTGGCCATTGTCGATGTTTATGCAATACTCAAATTGATATCAGAGTCTAAATACTACTCCCAATCAGCAATCGTATATATTCATACGCTCAGTTAAGTAAAGTTCTGCTTCTCTGCGCCTAGAGGATTGTTATTGCTCACGCATTTTCAGGCACCTTGCAACAAAAGACTTAAGACACGAACTTGGCCCGCAAGTCACATTTCCTGCCCGGCACGCAAAGTGCGCAAACTGCGAACACCTTTTGCATAAATTGCAATAACTGCAACTAAAGACAATTAAAAAACTCTCTAATTAAGTGATTAAAACCGCACACAGACATCATATTATGGAAATATGCGAGTCAATAAAACTCACACACACACACACACAGACGGCCACTTGGCCACATCTACACACCACCTCCCCCTCTCTGCACCCTACGCCCTGCTTATCGGCCATATGTGCTTGCAGTTTTTCCAGGAACAAACACGCTTTTGCATTTTAATGCCATACAAATGAGGCGACGAGCGGGCATGGCAAACGAGCCGCAGCGGCTCAAATGTGTGTCGGCCATGTGGAGGTGTCGCTGTGCGCGTGTGTGCAGGTGAGTGTAGCCAGCACGCACACACACACACACTCATACACACGCACACATTGGCATTGGCTTGTTTCTGACTAATAAATGCCTTTTTAATGAATAAATCACTCAGAGATAAGCATCTCTTAATAACGTTCATTTAAAGCAGCGAAAACAAAACACACTCCAACAAATAAACAAGCCACGCACACACACACACACACACGCACACAGAGACACGGTTGCTTATGTGAATCGAAAGCAGCGCCCAAAGACTTGACTTGGCTCTGACTCTCAGCATTTACTTTGAGCTACTTTGCGAGATTGGCGCTAGAGACGCAAGAGCTCTCTCTACTCTTCTCTCTCACTCACTCTCTCTCTCTCTCTCTCACTCACTCTCTCTCTCTCTTTTATACAGTGACTGCTGTAAGTCACCCACTGCTGATGTCTGCAAGTGCCACAAATTTATTTATATGTCTTCTTCATGTCAGTCCGCTGGCAACTAGCGACAAGGACTAGATGAGTAGGTTTGACATAGGCAGCTCGCCTGTCACAGTGCTCCGATATGATTTTTAATAATTTCTAGCCATGCGGAGCGCATTGCCATGCCGAGCACGCTGCACAGGTAGCCGGGCAGCCGGGCAGTCGGGCAGCCGTTCTCAGAGTTGTCCGCTGCCGCAATCATCAATGTCAATTAAATGTTAATGCCAAATCGGAGAAGCGCGCTGCGTGTGGGTGTTGAGCAGGATATGGGCATTGGAATGCAAGGTGTCTGCAGCAAATGAAGCTATCGCCATTCCAGCAATATACCTTATGCGCATGTACACATATGGACAGGGTCAGGACCCCGGGCCTTGTCTATGGAAAGGCTGCCACAATTCACAATTCATTGGCCGGCGCGTAAATCTTCAACTAACGCCTCCCCAATGCAGAAATCTACATATTAACGCCACAGCGGAGCTGGAGCCGGAGCCGGCTCAATGGCAACGGACAGCGCCACAATTGCCACAGACTGGCCGGGGCCAGGTCTGCGACCCAAAACGACGATCATTTACTTTATGATCACTTGAAAACCAATCAAGCATAATAAATAATATCGGCGAGTGGGCCAAGTGGGGCGCGGGACAGGAAATCGCACTCACACACAGCAAGAGGCAGACAGAGACAGAAAGATAGAGAGAGAGAATGAGAGAGACAGACACAAACATATTAAATTATATTCACACTCTGGCCCCCAGAAAATGAAATGGTTTTAAATATGGTGGAAAGCCAAACAAGCCAGAGTCATGAAGCTGATCGCGCCGAGATCAGCAAACAGTACAACAACGTCAATGGTCAAAAAAGGAGGCAGGATGCGTTCTAGCCACAATCCCATCCAGAGGCCATTAAGCATGCCTCTGCATTGGCAGACACACAGACCCCAGA